GGGCGGCTGAAGAAAAATTTAGTTTTCTCTCTCTTTCAAGGAAGAAAAGAAAAAACCTGTTCTTTAAACAGAAATAAGTTTCTCATTTCAACTCTAGCAGGACACCAGCTCTGCTCTGGAGGGGTGAAGTCAGTTACCAAGTTCCACATGAGATTAGCTCAGGAAGACCCTAATACAGGTCTGAACGCCTACCCATGATCACAACACAAATAAAGATCCAGCCACCCAGGAACCTTGGTTATCTACTTAGGAGCAAGTCTCCCATCTTCACTGACCTTTCTCCAAAGGACATCATTTGTCTCATCATCTCAGCCTGTTTTTGCTTTTTGACTTTTTGTAGCTGTCAGCAATGTCAGAGAGCCTTGCAGGCTCCCACGAGGTATGGGTTAGGGCCCACTGCTCTTATACACCAAGATACAGAGGAGGCCACATGCCAAATAAAATAGAAAAGGGAAATACAATCTTTCCTCGAATGTGACAGCAGACTTTGTCACCACTACCCAGCTTGTGTGTACCATTTTAACAGGTCTCCAGAGCCAAAAGCCTTTTATAGATCATTCATATTCAATCTGCTCTAAAAGTCAACGTGTCTTGTAAACTTGTGTTTTGATACCACACATGCCTTCCACTTAAAAGACAACAGGTGCAAAATACACCTCCAGTCTTTTTAAGTGCCAGAGGCTTGCTACACCCAGGCTAAAAACACTGCAGAAACGTACACTGCACGGACTTGGGGGAGCCTGCAACAAGGAGAAAGAGAGGTAGAGGAAAGAGGGGGAGGACAATGACCCGCACTGGTTTTGTAAGCACTGCGGGTCGGGGTGGCGGGCCCAGCCGAGGAAGAGAGCGGCTGCGTGGAGCGGCGCTGCCTGGCGGGAGGTAAAGCCAGCCCTCAAACGGCGCCGCCTGCTGGCCAGCGCCCTGCCGGCGAAGCCCAGGCCTGGCACAGAAGCCGCGGCCACGTGCGCCCAGGCCTGGGCCCGCGCCAGGCCGATAGGAGCGGGGCCGGCGCGGCAGATGGAGAACAGGAAGGGGGCGCCGGCGCCCCGGCCTCCGCCCACACGCGGCGCAGGAAGAACTTGCCACGCCGCGACACCAGTCAGTGCGGAGCCGCCCGCACCCCA